CGGATTTGAATTCAGCGCCCAAAAACACGTCTAGCAGTATAGGTCTTATTTCAAATGGCGACTTCGAGTTGGGGTCCTTCCCAGACTCGTCGAAGCTCCGACAGAACTCATCTTTTAGCACTCGCGGCAATCTGCTTGTGATGCGTACACGGATATTATTGTCCATACCGCTGATCCTGCTGACAGCGGATACAGAGTCAGTGGAGACCCCATTAGTGCTATGGAAATCGTGTCGTTCGGTGTCTTCTCCGCTGACACACTCAAAGACTTCTTCGGCCTTTGCTACTTTCCAGCGCATCTACTGGAAATTCCTATGCTTGTTCAGATCAGTAATCCCTCTCAGACTTTCCAGTTAGCGATACCACTTTCGAAGTAGCTTCTTTGGAAGTGATAATTCACCCCTCGGTCGTTCTCACATAACGCCCGCGGAACTCGGGAGGGGGTCCTGTGCGCCACTTACGGGTGACGTCCTAGCTGTTACACTGATTCCTCTAGACATTGTTCATAATGCGACATCAGCCGGTTTGTCAACTGGACTGACACTGGTACCGACACCATTTTTGCAATTTTTGCAAGGTATAGTTTTTGCCTCGGCACGAATCGAACTTGCACTTTCTGTGCGAGTTCGATTCCTGTTGAGGTGGAGCTGAGCCTGAAACTATATCACTTGGCTATCCTTACCTCAAGGGCATAACAACACTGAGATCAACGTAACCCTATTGATCACGTCGAACTTTGATGTCGTGATTTGTTCACGTCTTGTTGCCTTCTGTCAAATAGACAACCTCGATATCGCAAATATCACAGCAGTCCGCTGCAAGCAGAGACATTGCACCTCTATCAACCTTCGTGCACCTCATGCAAGCGTCCAACCAAAAGTAGCTCCATAGGTGAAAAATTCTGAACAGTACTTTTCCGAGCCCTCTAATGATGCTCTAGCCACCTCTTTCGTCCCATATTTGAGCTCCCCTATTTGAAGTTGCTTAATCCCTAGCCTGGGAAGTGGTTTTCGCACTGTTATTCCCAAAGCCTTGGTGGGGTGTTCGCATTCATTTGGTCGCCATGCTTCCTTGACACCAGCGTCTAATAGACATAAACATCTTTAAACGGTGCCGATCAATTGTTCAAAGAAAGTGGTCGAAGCCAAATGAATTCATTACTTTTGGTTCCCTCGAAGAGGTCCTAAGCAAGGATCAGATACAATTTTGTGACTTGAGAGGCGAGTAATAAGATTGTATCTGCTCCCTGCGTAGGTCCTTTTACAGCTGAAGCGAGCTATTATTATACTTGAACAAAAACTGAGTATTTCCAAGACTCAGCTTTCCAAACATTCTGAGAATGTTCATATTTTCCAGTGCTCCCATAAAGCAACACAGAAACGTTCATTACGTCTTTATGAATGGAGTTTCAATCTTTATCTATGTCTGGGAACCACTCTGTCTAAGGTAAGTTGTGAGTCGAACGCGCCTAACCTCTAGACCCGAGAAGGAGAATTTTGTCCGTATAAAATACCCGAACAACCTTACAGCCGATCAAGTGCTTTAGAACAGAAAAATTTCTTCCTCTAGCTAAAGATTTTACTGATTGTCAAAGCGACTTCACCTGTTATGTATTATGCTAATCAAAAGAAACATACCGACAAATCTTTCAGAATAATGGCATATCATGGGAATACGTCAAAACAAGCAAGTGCCTTTAATAGACAAGTGTATGAGCAAATAGTAAAACTTACTCGTCTGTGAAATATATGACGTGTTGCGCCAACAGCAATGACTCCGAGTAGAAGACCGAACAACGAAGTCCAGAACTATAAGTAGACATTTAACAAACTCAGTATCACTTTACTAAGAAGGTCTGGAATCAGTCAGCACACCGCCAGCAAAGTAATGTCACCGATAAACGATGCAGTCATAATTATGCAAACTTACAAGCGGCTTACAGCTTACAGCTACAGCTTAGAAAGTTCCTTAATAACAGGAAAGTTCCCATTTGGGGACATTTCAAAGAACTATGCCGCTCACAGCAAAAGTTCTAAAGATCTTTTTGTCCAAAATAGCCGAATAAAGTGCAATTTAAACGCGAATTCAGATGGACGCTTTCTAGAACCACAACTTTTCTTGGAGTCGTTTCCCTCTGAACAGGGCTGTTTTCCAGAAAGCTATAAGACTACTTCACAAAACTCTCGGTCGCAGAGCTATTTGCATCGAACATTTTTGTTGGGAGAAGTCATGGTTGTCGAAAAGGTTTCTTTAATATCTTCACTATAACAACGTTTCAGTTAAAGATGATTGGTCCTGAACTTCGCGAGCTCGTTCAAACTCTTTTTACTTCGCAGAATTTTTGCTTTCTGCCCATTACTGTACTAGTGATGAAGCGTTCAAACGAAAGCAAGATCGGCGATCTGAGCGGAATGTCCGGTTGAAGCAGTATCAATTATACGGAGCATGGGAAATGTTTCTATATTCCTCCTGAAGGCACAGCTCACGATGACTTGGAGGTACCCACTATAAGTCGAATAGCGTAAGTATTGAGCGCCCTATCTGAGCCGTTTTTTGATCTGACAGTGACACATATGCTATAAGGTGAACTACAGATTCATCCTTGAAGGATGTCTCAGAAACCATTTTGATGGTTGAGTAAACCTTTGGGGAAGATCGTAAATAAGCGGTTGTGGGCATGTGATGCACGCGCTAGCCTCCATAGCCCAACCGGAACCTCATACACTGGAACGCAAGAAAAAATTGGGTGGAGAGCTGACGGTGCTGCTGGTCTGATTGACGCTCGCAATTGAGTACACTACAGAACATTACGATTGAAGTCATTTTTCTGGCTTAACTTTCGGTACGAATTTTTAACACTTCTAGCTTAAGCTATGTAATGGGTAGTATTGTTAATCAGACGTACTATAAGATGTTTCCATGTGAATGGCCGATGGAAGGAAGTCCTCACTCTTGCCGTCCGATTACCGAGCCACGTCGCAACTACAGCAGCAAACAGTAATGATCTCATGCAGTTATCCTCGATGAAACGCAACTAAACATAAGCGTGATTCTCTCAAAAACTCGATTTCGTAGAACTCTATCTCTTAGCGGTAATAAAAAAATGGTTTACATGAATAAAAGTGGTAGAAAAGCTTCCGATCCAAATGTACACAAGATCTCTGCACTCTCGGTCGCAGTTCCCAATTATGTAGACGCCTGAAAACGCTAAATCGCTGACATCCGTTTTATCTTGTACATCCAGAAAATCATTACGTAAGATGGTAGCTTTAAAACTTATATGTGGTCCAAACAGCGATATTCCGATTTCGTTCAGCGACCAAAAAGAATAAGCAACATATAAAATTTCATGTTTAGCTCAATAAAGAGACGAGTGCGGAGGAAAGGCAGTTATAGCGGTCAAGAACTCCTATAGCTCTTTAATTTCTAAAGCGCCACTGTCGCATAGTGAAGGGATGAAACGCGACAGCCTTAGGATGCCAAGATGAAATGAGATGTGGACTTCAAAAAAAAAATAGTGGTAATGAAGAAGAGAATAGAATGAAGAAACAAAAGACGTTCATTTGAAGAAAATGTAGTACCAGCTGTTACAGCCGCCGCCAAAGCCGAAACCATGAGAAGGCTGTCACTGGCCGATTTTCCAAACGTCACACTACCAGCCATCCAACACAGAAAACCTAAAGTCGTTCCCTTAACAGATTATGCTGGTTCCTATATGGGACGATTTTTTCGTCAGCAACTATAAAGATAACTTCGAGCAGATGGAACATTAAGCTACCAACCTAGCCATAAGGCATATGCAACAGAAGCAACAAATCTTGGAAGTGAAAAGGAGACCATCCGAGATAAATTTGTCATCAGCTTTCCATTCCTACATATTCGAGATATTGCTCTTTGCTAATTTTTCCACTCACAAAAGATCACATTCTAAGTTATGTAAAAGTCGTACTTGTATTTCTTCATCTCTTCTCCCTCGCCCAACTTGAGCATGTTGTAGAACTCGACCTGTTTGCCCAGAAAAAAGCTGTCGTACAAAACTCCTGAAAATCGTTGTTTGGCATAGGCAAAGTCGAAAGGGTGAAAATAGTGACGTAAAATAGAAGGGTTTTTATATTTTCCTAAAAACAGACCCAACAAAAACACGCCGCCAGTAGAAATGAAGATGAACGTTTCAGGTATCTGCTCAAGATAGAGACGATGAAGGCCTAGGACACCGCCAACCATGAGTAAAATTCTAAAAAATTTGTTTTCGCCTGGCTCTTTCCACAATTTATCTTACGATGTTAAAGGATTGAGAAACTCAAGCATAACAGCTTTCTTATTGTTGAGGGGAGAAGTGTAGCTTTCAAACAGTCTCTGTTAATATAAAACAGTCTGCCATATACTGCTGTATCCGAATAAGTCATGGAATCTGTTTTCTGGGGTGCTAAAAAGGTTTGCCTGAGGGATTGTTTGAATGCCGGTTTCTTTTATCACACTGTCATCAAAGAGAATAAAAATGTTCTCAACAGGATTGACATTGATTGACAGATAGGATTTAAGATTGGCACTGGAATATCGCATGTATCATTTCTTACGTATCACTCCTTACAAAGGTGCACGTAGCATTCATTCGAACATCTACCATCTTTGAAATTTCCGCCAAGCATTAAAATCATCATGAACCCAACATGGGACCGCACTGTTGTGTTAGCTGAAGTCCTTTCTGCTTAGGGCACACACAAATGGGCTTGTAAAGGCAAGATTTCAAAAAGGACTATGGNGGAGTATTTCAAGCCAAATTCACTCTGATTAACAATAATGGACGTGCCACATTGGACGCAACTTTCTTAGCGGAAACCTGAGTATTGGTAAGGGGAATTATATGACAGATAGGTGTTCGAAGAAATCAAATGCAAAGAGAATGGCGGTCAGCGGGAGAAAATAGTGACAAAAATAACTGTATACAGCAGTAAGGAGCGGACCCGCAACAGCTACAGTTCAATCAACCTTCAACACATTATCTTTGCTTTTGCTATGCATCTGTTATGTCTACCGTTAAAAAGAGCGTCGTTATATGGAGCAGAAGTTTTGGTCATAAACAGTGTATTGGGCTCACATCTAATTATCTGTATCAGCCGTTGGAATGGTTTCATATTGATGCATATGGATGGTAAGTACGGACTTTCATCAGACTTCAAAGGATTCATCGGGTTTCGAAGGGTTTTTAAGAGAACGCCTATCCCATCAGGCACGCAATGTTTAGGAAGGCGGTGAGAAAACGGTAGCAGAAGTTCTGGCCTTCAGCTGCTGCGGGAGCATTCGCAGGTGCCTATGTTTCGTTACGTCTGCTCATTTGACTGGCAATCAGAGTAGAAGCGCGATCGACGAGCGCGCTTGATTCCTAACTAACCATTTGAAGAGTTGATGGCATAGGGAAGTTCACGTTGGGTGATCAAACAACGAAGTTCCGCTAGCATTGAGGGGATGGATGCAGAAGTCGTGGGGATTGCTCAGGGGAGATATCGAAAAAGAAGACAACAACTATTAACCGCTCTGTGGTAAGAGCCATAAAACTATTGTACAAATCCCCAAATGTAAGGTTCTTTTCCAAAGAGTAACGTAATAGGAAGACATTCCCCAATAGGTATGGAGAAGTTTCGAAACGACAGCAAAGGATCTGCTTACTGTTCTGACCAAGATATCCAAGGGCCTTGCTCCAAACCACACAGCACAGTATATAAGAGCTCATATGAACCATCCAAATAAGTTGGAATGGCATCATACAAAGAATAGGACGATGATAATGAGAAGCAGGGCAAAATGAGGGTAGATTGACGTTTCCAGCTTAAAAAATTTCAAATGATTCTCTCACTCATCCGCTTTTGAATAGTTAGCAAATAACATAATTTTGTCGCAACTTCTTGACTTCACAAATCGAACCGTTGTGGGAGATTGGAAGCATACAACACTACTATTGATTAGTATGATTCTGTGTTGTAAACATTCTTAACTTCGTGCTCGGTAATACGTCGACTTAGACATTTACATTATGGCTAAAAAATGGATGATCTGATTTTTTATTATCTCTATAATATTCAACATTGGGACACTGAAAGCCACAAAACCAAGATCATTCCTCCTTCATATCACAGTTCCTATCATAGGAATTTCACTCAAGATCGCTCTACAGAGAAATTCACTTGCATTCCAGACGAACTAAGCACGCAGATGAAAACCCCTTTTCTCTTACAGGGCTCACGTAATTATCAGTTTATTAAATAACAGGAGGATAACCCTTCTGAAAAAAATCAGGGTCGTCTATTTGTCAAAATACTGATCCAAACAAATATGATGCACCCACCTTGCTTTGAAAGGGTTGGCCAGCCGCACATCAGAATCGAGATCACGACCCTCGTCTGCCATGTCACCTGCTTGAAATGAGCCCACCTAACACCCCCACACCCTCGCACAACGCACGTTATGCAACGATATGATCTGCTATTAGCGTCCTGTCCTGATGAATAAACAAGATGTCTATACGATAATAACTTTGAAATCTGGTTTCACCAAGGTATAGACATACACAGTAGTTGCAAACACTTCTATCTTCAAAACAGCAGAAAGGTCTGCGTAAATGTTCATTGCACGATTCCATTCAGGGGAGGTTAATAAGGCGGCTTGCACACAAGAACTACTTCAAGATATTCGCATCCCATAAAAAAAAGGTTGACTCAGCGCCAACAGGTAACCCTCCTGGTGAACCCTGACAGAAGAGCAGAGATATTATAACAACCTACACCTACAACCCCTTCATATATAGAACAAATGGAAACTAGCCTGAGGCAACTCCTAACTGTGAATGTTTTCAGGACTCCTCTACGAAAAGTATGGCGCACTAACAACAAACTTCCCCAGTTGCTGTTGCTCCTCACATGAACAGAAGTGGCAATCTTGACGAGGTGACAAAACATCAGATATTCTGGTTGTTCATGCGTACGGCGGGATATGTCCTCAACGAAGAAAGTGACTTTTCATTAGATCATCTTGCTAAATTACCGGTTTGTAAAACCTCACATTATCACATTCTGCATTTCAACAAACAGCTCGAAAAAAGGTCATAGATCTATACGAATTGTCTCCAAATACATCGAGTAATAAATATCTGACAGACCAATGCATTACAAAAAGACAGCAGAACAACAGCACTTACCAGTGAAACGAAAAACCCCTAACAGGCAATAGAAAGTTAAAAAGACCGTCTTAATAGCCTCGCCACTAAACAATGAGAAAAGAAGAAAAGCATCTCACTCATTCAGAGAGCATCCCTTATGCGTCAAGCAAAAAAGAGGGCAGAAAACAAGTAGTGTTACTCACAGTACTACTGCACTTCCAATTTCAATATCACGCAACTTTACTGTCGACAAACACAAGCGCGCAGTTCTGTTCAGAATTGAATGAATTCCGAAATAATGTATACAATAAAGTACAAAAAGATAGAGATTTCATAAAAAATAGAGTAGTCTTCATCTAGTCGATCTTCACAGCAGCATAAATACGTCGCAAAAATGCGTATGATGCGTAGAATCCGATTGTTCCAGTAAGGAACCAGAATGTTATCGCCATAAGGGCAGAATAACTAAAATACAGCACGGTCGGCACAAAACCTTCGATGTCTAGCTTGGTAACGTAGTAGAAGATTGAATACGCCATAACTGAAATTTGAATTTTCAATTAAATTATAGGCATGCGACACCTTGGTTCCGGCAAACTTGACCAGATTTTTTTTTGAAAGTATAAGAGAAAATTTATGGCATCTTCAGAGGGGAAATCTGCCCAATAGGTCTGGCGCTGCCTAATACTATGGCCAGAAAAAACGGTAACATTAAAAAGGAATCGAGTGTAGCGTAGGAGACACAAAAATGATATGAAAATAACTCACCATAGACTGCAGAACCACCACTGACAATAAAGGACTTCCACCACCAACGATAGTTCTAAAAAACATTAACTTTAAAGAAACACAGTTGACAAGTGTCAAATTTTCGAAACTCACTTCCGCGCACAACATGAAATAAGTGGCCACAACAGAAATTTGTGCCGTGCTAATAACGAGGATCATACAGACGATGAACAAGAAACCAAAAAGGTAGTAGAACTGATTTTCCCAAATTGCCTGTAAGATTATTTCATACTTGAAAGACACTGTTTCCAGGCTGAAGCTTTGGTGTGAATCGCTCCACTCAAAGACATCTCAGAGTTGGCATATTTGAACACAATAAGAGAAAGTGATGACGGAAAAACAGTACGAGGACATACCGAGAAAATAAAGAATAATTCAATGAACATTGCCCCAAACGGCAAAACTCCGGCGATTAAAGTGCAAGGTACAGTCCGTAGGTACCACGGCTGATCTGGCACCTGGCGTGGAATTTGATTTGTTCGAACTGGATGAGTATATGGCTGAAATGCAGAACCTGCTTGCTAACTTGATGAGCTTGTCATTATCGCAACATTCCAAAAAAAATCTTACAAGGAACTTAGAAATCTTTACTTCTAATAAAAGACAGGCGACTATGATCATAAATTCTTAGTCCTTAGCTGAACAGCCTTCTCTAATTTTCCCTTATTTTGAAAGATTAATTTTTACTCAAAAAATGAGTAGTACCCCGAGCAAAACAATATTTTCCTGAAAAATAACCTGTTTCCTATATCCAAAATAAAATCCAAGGAACACTAAGGGCAAATCGATCCCGAACCACATGAGCAGCAGAGCAATCATTGTGCCAAACGGAACCTTAAAATTTTCAGAGGTATTGAAAAAGCAAGGTATGGAAATGTTACAGACAGATGTCAATGAAATCGAACAGCAAAATAAACTCACTGCTCCTGATGATTGCTTGCCTATAAGGAAGAAGTTGAGAACAAACCCACTCCCAAGAATAAGCGATGGAAAGAGAGTTCCAGTCTCAAAAAATTTTTATATAGTTATGTGTAAATACAAAACTACTACATGGCGTAAACTTCAGAAGTAAAAATCTTGAAATGTTAAATGAAAGATTGACAAAATTGTATTCTATAGGTACCTGAATTGCACATCTAATTGGATTGCGCCCTTTTAAGGTTTTATACAGGCGACCAGATTGATAGCCACTAACAAGACCCATGAAGCAGAACAGAAACACAGCAGCGGACATGAGTGACCCACGGCTGGCAGGTGATAGCATCCCCAGCATTGCAAAGACTGCAAACGTAGGATATGTTTTCGAATTTAATTTATAGGTCAACAACCAAGTGCAGCTAGAATTTCAAAATGGATCCACGAACAAATTACTGTTTAAGCGATGAATTTTTTCAAATTTGCAGTATCGCAAAGAAAAACTCACAAACTATAACTCCGACCATTCCTAGTAATTGTATACCAGTTCCCACCATGTTCACAAGTATCATCTGATGAGGTGGGGGACGAAAGACGTCACCATGGACAAGTTTCCAACCAGTCTCCTCGAGAGTGTCGTCCTAAAAGTTTGTTGCATCCAAACGGATTCCTTACTGGTGTGAGGTGCGTCAAGAGAACACGGGATAAATGCTGATTAGTGGGGTAACACAAGGCTTGCTATCATTCTTCGGAATTGAATTCAATTTTTCATCCTTCTCTTGAACTAATCACAATCAGAGAGATATTAGCCACATTGTTCACAAGATCCTACCAATACCCAACTCCAAGTTGCGGTCCTCGTCGACGATGCTGATACCCTCAAAAGAAGCAGACCAATTGGTGGCAGCAAAGTTGTTAGAATATTACTCAAAGTTAACAATTACGCTCTGCTTCACTCGCTTTGAAGTCAAGTGAGAATCTGTGTACTAAGCACTGTCGAATGAACAGACGGGTTTCAAAACTTCAAAAAGTTGAGTACGATAGGATGAGAAAACTGCTGAGAAAAATATCGAAGGGAAGGTACAGAAGCTTGACACACATCAGTTATGGGCATCTCCTTGGCAAAGCATGAGGGTCAAAATTAGTTACCTCAGCTTCGTCTTTGTTGTAGTGAGCGATATCACGACGCACAGTACGTACAATAGACACACTTAGGAAGCCTGCAGCATTGATATAGATTTAATATAGACGTGTATTTGGCAGGTGAAAACATTGCACTTACCGCTTAGTGATAATACAACGACTATTGAATTGAGGATACTGAACCAATGAATATCGACTGCTTTGACTGACAAGTACACATCCCATCGGCTAGCCCATGGGATCTGAAAAAAATCACCTCCAAATGAAAAAGCTCATGGAGTCAAGTATACGCATATTGCTAGTACGCCTGATTCGTTGGAGATTCGTTGGTATTTCGCGAATTCCAAAAATCGAAAGCATTAACAAGGATCCCAGTGAAGGAGCTGAAATACGATATGAACTCACATCGCTGGGTTCCCATGTGACACTATAAGTCCACTGGATGTGCTGGTCCTCTTCTTTCAATTCGTAGAAGTTCGCCTCCTTATCAAGTCCGCTACACTCCTATAATGAATGTTCAAACAGACAGCTAAAGAAACTAATGCGGTGACAAAATGGTCAATCGTATACCTTGTCTTTGGTAAAAGAGACAGATTTTATAGAGCGTGGTTTCACTTCGAAACCAACAACGCGATACAATCCAGGCATGTGTTCATGGTACAGCATCACAATATCCAAATGATTGTTAAGAAATACCTAAAGATAAGTATTCTCGATTTCGAAGAAAGAGCTCGTTAGCTTTTGAGTACCTTTCGGAGAGATTAAGGGACCCAGATGCCACAAATACTTCACAACTATAGGAACATCAACATGTCGCTCACTTAATAAACAAGCGCACCCCATGATTCTCTAATATATGAAAAATTCAACCTCTACCACTTTGCAGTTACACTATTTTTCATTTCGTTTCAACAATTATGCTAAAATTCTTCTGACAATCAAACTAACCTCATAAATGACACCTTCCCATACTGACAGAGAACAATACGCTTTAAGCTGTGAAGCAATATTCAAGAGTGTTCCTTACCTTGCCGTCTTCACCGACCCAACCAATTTTGTAGCCTAGGTCATAAAAAATTTCGCCAGTTTTCGGGACTTCGTACTTCGTAGCAGAAGGAAGATTGTCCACCAGCCTATATAAAAAATGGACGACAGAACATTTTTTTAGATTTGCCTCCAATAACAAATCGCAAATAAAATTTACTGAACGTACAAGTGGGCATGGTAGTCTTCTTTTATACGATCCATCAACCTCCTCGCCGCAGATGAGCTTACCTCAACCGGCTCAGCCCTTGTACAAGCAGAAGCACACGCAATATCCTTTTTCATAAAAAGCTGAAAAAATCGATGACAGGGAAAAGCGTATTCAAATTCACTGTTGAATGCAATGATCTAACCTGGTATGGAGTGTTGACGATACGGTCTCCACGCATCACCTCGCCGAGATTTTCTGATTTGTACAACAAATCTCCCTCAGGACGACAAAAGGGAAGGTAGTAATACTCGTAAGGGACGATTGTTTTCGTACTTGACAATTTGATTGCCTGAGAAAAATAGCCTTATTCAAACGAACAAACATATAAAAAATTAGCAGTCACCTTAACTTCAATTGGATCGCCACTTCTGAATTCGACAGGAGCTACTCCGGGCACATAAAATCCTTGTTCACATGGAAAACGACCCAAGAAAAGGAAGACGAAAAGCAAGTGGGCTGAAGCCATTACTCCCTGGAAATCATCTTTTGGACGGCGATTTGGAGCAATTGGCAATCGACCAAGAATTTTATTACCAACAAAGGATCCAAAAAATAGAGAGCAAAGACAGAGGTAATACGAATAAATGGCGGCTGAGGTAAACAAGGATCGTAATTAAACTATGACAGTTGTAAAGTCCGCTTCTGAAGTGCTACATCAGCACCGCAACGCCCATAGAGGAGTGCTCTATTTGACGAACAACGGGACCTTTTGGAGAAGTGTTTCACTTCCTCTAGAATCACCGTACTATCCTACTATACATCGGTGTACGTGTTTGACCGTGAATTCACAATTCCTTTTCCCGTGGACCTAGAGCGTTGAAATTTGGTAGGAGTACAGGCGGCAGGACAGGAGCACTGATGTACGTTACAGGACTCGACTGCGCCCAAAAGGGAGGGAGTGAGCGAAAATTTTCGTTTGAGGGAAAATTCATAGCTCCTGTTTTCTGGGACCCAAAGCGTTACAACTTGGTAGGGCTCAGTATAGGAACGCCGAGGATAGGTGGCACGACTGGATTCCGCCTACAGTTGAGCATGCATGGCAATTATTAATTTGGACCTGAAGCATTCGAATTTGCTAGAGATACAGGCGGCATAGTTTTAATGGCAATGGTGGCTGCTAGAAAGGACTCAACTAAATCTTGTTCCCCGGGGCGTGGGGGTGATGAGGGGGACGGAATTTGCGTGAAATTAGTGTAATCTGAGTAAAAATCGCAGTCAACCTGGAATAAGAGGAAATGAACCAAACCAACAAAACCGAATGAACCAGCGGTTGACGCAAGAGTGTTACCGGTTTGACGTAACAAGCGTCGCGTCAATAACGCTTGACTTTGAACTCTATTAGATACCCATGCCGTTCATTCCTATAAGGGGCAACGCGTTGGATTGTACGATGTCGGCCGGCGTGCGGAACAATACCGTTCTGGAGTTGATGGCGTGGATCAACCACTCCTATTTTGCTTAATTTTCCCCAGAAGTGAGCAAATTCTCGTGGAATTGCTTAAGAAGACAACCAAGGAACTATAAGCAGAGTTATTGACGATCTCTGCGATTCTTGATCTTAGTAGCTAGTGGTTAGAGTCAGTCACCGTCAGATGCGATAGGTGATATGCCGAGGTTTCGAAAGGCTTTGAGAACGACGAACTTCTCGAAAAGTCGGGCAAAATAGAAATACCGTTGGGAAAAAAAAACTTGTCCGGCATGACCGCTTTGAACACTTGTCAGAAAGTAAACCCTCTGGCTCCAAAAAACTGACGAACATGGCGATTGCTAACTAATTAGTTGCTTCAACTTGTGAAGCACTACGACGACTTTGTAAAATGTTTGTTCGCAAGACAGCTGCAATGAAAACAACCGATCAAGGTGTTCAAAGATACCAAAGATAAACAACTGATAAGCAAAACTCATCTGTAAACAATAAGGAAAACTGATAATCACGACGATAGCAACATATGCACACAGCAACAAAGCAGATGGACCGAGCAGCCGAAATTTGTGTCACGCTCCGCCCACTGCCGATGCCACGCATGCGTCAAATACAGTAGCGCGAAAATCCATATTCCATATTCCCAATGAGTATCTACAGGAATTCCGACAGTCAGTGGGAAAAGGGCCTTCCCTCTGGGTAGATATTCCCATCTACACCTATCGCAGCTCTTCATAAATAAAGTACGCCCAGGTGCCATGCTCCTAGAGGCATCGCAATTCCGTCCTTCCACTGCGTGCGACTATTTCAAAGCAGACGAATCTAATGGAAACTCGCATCTAAAACTGCGATCTAATTACCCTATAGCGATGAGAACATTTCGGAGGCGCAGCTTCATAAGTCCCTCTTCCTTACCTCATTGGCAGTTTTCCCTATAAAGGATGGGATCAAAAATTCAGATTTCCGAAGGGAAAAAGAGGGTTGTATACCAGGCACAATATGGAAAAGCTATAAAGTATCAAGACAATGTGGGACTATCAGAATGGAATCCTATTCACCAAACTGTGAAACGTGTGAACCGATCAAGCGGTGTTGCACTTGGCTGTCAGCTCAATACCTGAGAATTCGAGCGCTCATTTAATCGCAAGATGAATCATCACTTCGAAGGAGGTCAGGGCCTGTTATTATATCCTAAACCCAAAGTATTAAGCAAAGCATAAAGGATCTTTCTAATAGGGGTTCGATACAGCAACTAAACTATCTTCTTTTCGCGAACGATACTGTGCTCGCAATAGAAATGGACTAAGAAAGAGGCACAAATAGCTTTGACGACGTATAAGCTAAATCCGGATCGGGACGAACAGTGTCCTAGACTCTCTTTTTTCGTTTCTCAAAATGCAAACATTTCAGGCTGATGAGCTAGAAAAAATCACCGTCTAACACCGGAGGAGCATATATGGAACGATATGGAATATATGGAACACGGGGTGCGTATATGGAACGTCAAATAGGCTGTCCCAGCTGTAGCCTCATAGCCATATAATGAATTTGACGGCTGCGCACTATTTCATGTGCAAATCGACAAAAAAACGCCTTTCAAACATTTTTCATGGTAGGGTCATCAAAATAATGTGCATCCTGGCTGTTTTGGTAGCATATTGAACATTTTCAGATACATTCTGTAATGAATGAGCGGATATCGACTACGTTATGTGACACTATAGAAAAAGGGAATTATGTGGTTGTCCAGAAAGTTGGTGGAGAACATATTCGAGTGATGCGGCTCTCTTCAAAACAAAAAATTCTCATAGAAAAACTCAAGTTCGATGCAGAGAGGTTTGTTCTTGTATATCGTCGAGAATCTTCTTAAATAAAGCTTGGGCTAATTTTTATATTTAAATTAGTTAGTAATATTTCACTTTTCTATGCTTATGGAATACAATAGTTTTTTTTTTTGCTTTTGCATTATTTTCCCGAGTTCTTTGTGCGAATTCTTCCTACGTAATGTTAGGTGCTTTCAAAGTGTTCTGAAACAGATGCTTATTTGATATTGAGAAAAGTTGCTCTTAGGAGGTCACGAAGTGTTGGTAGTTTTGTCAATTCTTTTTTTATACTTGGAAAGCCTCAACTTTTTTACCATCCATTCTTACTCGGGGCCCAAATTGCAAATTAGCAGTCGAATTGGAACGACAAGTGCTAAGCTGAAAAGTCCGTGTTGTACCTTTGAGAGGTGGTCAACCAACCACACGTGAGTCCGAGTCATTTTTGAATCGTTTAAAGAACATGGGTGTGAGGTTACGAGGTATGATGTATTGGTTTTTAACATAAGGTCATTTTCACATTTTTCACAAAGATTTGTTTGAACAAAAAACAATGATCATAATTATAAATTGTTAAATAAATTATTATAATAATCAGCCAATTCACGTGTTGTTTGGCGACCATCTTCCTTCAGTAATGCCTTCAGATGCTTTTCGTCGAATTCTGCAGGTCGTCCGCTTCGAGGCGTGTCTTCAAGGTCAAAGTCGCCATTTTTGAACTTTGCGAACCATTTTTGTGCAGTAGACACAATTAAGACGCCTTCTCCGCACACACTGCATATGTACCGAGCAGCTTCGGCTGCTTTTTGACCTCGATGAAAAGCAAAGAAAAGCAGATGTCGGAAATGTGAATTTTTCCTCCTGGATATTCCACTTCTGAGCCAGAAAAAAGAGTACAAGTGGATTATTCAAAAAAAAATTGAAACCGTTTTGTAGAGGAAGAAGAGCTCTTTCGAATGAATGTATGCACTTTGCTAAAAAGCAAAACAAATCGTTGTAAAATAGTTGACGCAAAACTCTACGAACTTATGTTACAACCCAATATAAGTTTTTATTCAGTTGAAAGCGTCTGAATTAGGTTCCAATAGCACTATTAAGTTGTCCTTACAACTTCATCCAAAATGTATTCGAATTAATTGGAATTTCTGAGAAAATTTAATTGTATCACCTTGGACATCGATGTTTATTTACTTTATCTTCGTATCTACAGTGTGTTCGGGAAGCCGTATGGTCTTTTTGAAGTAGCATCCGGTCAAGCTACACCCGTGTGCGCATCGCAAGTGGTTCAGGACGAAGGCGTAGGAGATATTGGTGTGATTTTCATATTCGTTTATGTTAATGTTCGGTATTATTGGAGTTTCCGTAACCTTTTTTATTTAATTTCGCCTCAGTGTAAAATACATTAAACGCGGTTCTTTATGGATTTCTTCTTGACCGTGGTGACTTGCTTTGCTTGACGCTGAACACTTTGCATTCTTAGTATTCTATGGTGAGGGGCGAGAAATTGGTACGCATAGAGTTCCCTGTTCTGCTTGTCCATATACATATGCTGCCTTCTTAATAGCGCATAAGCAGATTATTCATAAGTTACTGTCTGTACAGTTCTTGACTTATAGATGAAGACAGCCATTAAAAGTTCGAATTGATTTCACGCTTTTCAATGCACGGACATCAGGAGTGATGTTCCGGAATTAGGCTGATTTCGTTGAACGAATAAAATGAAAACAAAAAAAAATTAGGATATAAAAGCACCAATGTTCAGAGCTCCGCGATATCAACGGCAGCGGTAGTGCTGATAGCACTGAATCGACGGTCCCAGAAGAGTTCAATGTTGAGCTCAAACCTGCTCAGGTTATCTGAATATTTTTTTCATTAGTTTGATTGAACTTAAGTTCATTTAATTAAGGCTCTTCAAAAGCTTAGCCAAGAAGAGGTACTAAATTTGAAAGGTCAAGGTATCACAGCAGGTGAATTGGTGAGCAGTTCACCGTTTAAATTTTCTACTAAAATAATATTTCTAAGAGTACTACGTCACTTGGCGAATATTTACCTTCAATTGTTTCGAAGGTTTCGAAGCTAGTAGAAGGGAGCAAATCGTTCAGCACACGGACGGAGTACAGTAAGAGCAAGTATATACGACGGAAAACGAAGAAACATTCTGACAGGTCTGTATTATGGAATTCCTTCCAACTCTTCATCCACTACTGTAGTGAGTTCAAAAGATTCTGCCGCATCTTTATTTTTCGTTTAGAGTTCTTATTCTGAAACCCACTATACGTCTTCTCGCCCAGTCTTATTACATGAAAGATTGCGTTCGTGTCTCCAATTTAAGGTGCGTTCATCTATAGTTAGTTTGTTTCACCAATTCCTTTTCACTTCTAGGTTTCGTTGTCGTCTACCTTATGGTAGTTTTCCGCCTTCTTTACATTCTCAAGTTCCCTGACTCTAAATATTACCCGAATTTTCGCTCTTCGACTGCACAAGTATTCTGCCGTTTTCAAATTCCCAATTCAGTTTGGAAATTCCTTATTCTTAACTGAATTCGTGAAAGTTGACTGAGAAGATCATCTGAGTTTGCATCGCATCATTCCACTGAAAGCTTTCCCACAATAAAGAGAATGATTTAGTTCCTGTTATGACATTCCTGTTCACCACACATTTTTACTAATGCATGCTAGTCCACTGAGGAAACCGATTACCCACATACATTCTCCATAAAGAACTTTCGTAGTTCTAAACTTCATTAATCAACTCTCGAGATAGGTGTCTCATTTGGATGGATTTGTTGATCATCTTACTGTCTTTCTTGTTAGCGGACCGATTGTCTCAGTTCTTCTTTCATAACCGAGTTCCATTTTCCACCAGTGTAGTAAGGCTTCCCTTGACGGACGATGCCCTCTCCCTAAGCTGTCGACCGACTAATAGAGCTTTAACTGACTTGGTTGGATATGAGATATTGACTGACTGGATTGTTTTCCAGGACAGACCAGTTGGGAATGATCTTACAACTAGCAGCAGTTCATCACGGACGGAATGTTTTGGTGTTCGACCAGGTACAATAATTGCAAGTCTTTCCCAGAAGTTTTCGAGCTGCAAGAGATAGCGGGAGTTTTTTGCAGGTGCTGGGATTGGTCTCTGCAGGTGTAATCGATAGGCTTGGCGGACAAGGTGCATGTATTCATTTACACCGAGGCCTAATCGCACAATCTATACCATGTGTACATAGCATGAATTTTGATGAAAAGGTGCACCAATANACCAATATTAACACTTTTCGTAACAATCGCAACTTTCCATTCTCTTTCTTCTTCTTCACTTTCTAGATTCTTGAATACAAATACAAAGTTTCTGTTGTGATTCCCTCGTCTGTATCGCTTTTTGATGACTAGATACTGTTCCTTGCAGATATTTTCCACTTTTCTGCCTTTGCGTATTTCTTCCATCCTTGGAACGACGAATCAAGAGGAAAATGGGACGAAGGAGGAAGTGACGCAAGACGCTAATGAGGTTTTTCTTGCGGTGCCACGCTGTTTTTTATAAGCGGGCAATATAGCTTAGTTTTTCAGATTACTGAAGATTCGACAGCCATTCGAAGAGCGGATCGGTTAGCTCGTGAGCAACGTGCTTTGGATTTGTTAGCGGGAGGAGTTGATGTGCTGATCATTGCAACTAGAACGGTAGGAAAATGAAGCTTACCCCGTTCTTTTTACATTAACATTGCATCAGTATCACTTTACATATCACATGTTCTTTATTCTTCTGCTACTTTTCCTCTAACAGGTTGACCCCGTTTCGGTTTTGGACGTAGTGTTTCCGAAGTTGCGTCCATCTGGATCTGTTGTTGTGTTCGGACCGCACATGGAGGTTTGTAGGCTCTGTTTGGAATTGTTTGCATCCGTTTTATATTTTCCCTTTACAACTAAAATTGAAGTATTGTTGCAAAATCTACCAATTCGCGTAGGCGAAAATTTCGTTCCGATACTATCTTCTCAGTCTCCTATTGTCTTTCGAATTGAAACTTAGATATGACCTTAGTAAACCTCATTCTGATGAATTTCGTTGAATAGAAAAAAGTCGCGCCTTCGAGGTTTTACCATAGCTTCGCGTTCCTTGTTTTCTGGTCATGTGACCATCATGAAATACATGGCACCAAGCTGTAGATGGAAAGAAGGTCGCGAATCGAGTCACCATGTAGATTTCGCGAAAAAATATCAAGAGGATTCGAAAACTTAGTTCGTTGATGTGAAAGTTTTCATACCCATGTTAACATGTACAAGTCGGGTCGCCCCGCTAACGCTAGACCCTCTTCCTTGTCTAGTGGAATTGACGTATCATCCACGAATTGGATTCGGAAGCCAAACTCACTCGCACTCGACAACAACGTGAGCGTTTCGCCCGTCATGAGTGAAGTTCTGCTCAATCATGTGTTTAAGTAAATTGGTTCATTTTTCTCTTTTTTTGATTTGACTGGGTTAGTTTACTCAGATTGCACTCATTATACGCAATATGAGTCCCCCTACAACCTCCGTCTGCGGGATCCAGTTCAATCATTTTTCACCACGTATCATCAGTGTCCTAATCCTACCGCCTGTACCCTTACCAAATTCGTACGTCCCATGACCAAATTAACAATTTTTGAAGGAGCCGTGCCCCATGCCCCAGTGGGGGGAGTTCGGCCGGCCCCCTACCATAACTGTTCACATCTCGCCACCCGTATTCCTTGCCAATTAAAACGCTCAAGGTCCACGGGAACAGGAGTTATGAATTTCTGGTCGGACGTTTACTTCAAGATGACCAAACATCACTTTTCTCATACTGCCGCCTGTGCTCTTAACAAATTTGAACGCTCTAGGTCTTACAACGCTCTAGGTCTTTTCATGTACGTTTTGACCTCTTAGGCGAAGTCTAGTCTTGAGAACTATCATCAGTGTTCCCATGTCGTCCTAAAACCTATCGTTCACGTGAACAGGAGCTATGAATTTCAGGTCAGACATTCACTTTGCGCATTCATCGCCCCCTGTTGGTGGAGTCTAATCCTGCCACACACCATAAGTGTTTTCATCCTTTCATCTGTACTTGTACCATATTTGAATCTTCTTCACGGGAGAAGAAGTTAAGAATCAAATTTCCGGTCACACACAAAATGCACAAGACACACACATACACACATACTTGCACACATATATATAAACAAATAGGCTGTGCACGCTAGCGCGTGCATTGTATATTCAGACCACTCATGTGCGATGGAATCATTCAGCGGAATATTTGATGATCAGATTGAAACACTTCTCCCTGAATTCGAACGCTAGGGCCGCTTAAAGGCCATGCGCTCGATATATTTTTTGAGCAGAATTCTTAGTGTTTGCCCTTACACCTCAGTGCAGCCCTCTCCTACCATAAAAGTTTGACCATCTTTTAGCTGACCTTAATCACTTTCTCCGCATTCTAAATCGTTTAGACAGAGTCATGAATTTTCGATCTTACCCCCGCCCTACTTAAAGAGAACCCTGCCAATTACAGGTTTCGGCACATTCCTTCCGCTACCTCCAACCACTCTTTTCGCTCGTTCTATAACGTTTTTGATCAGAGTTGTGAATTTTTGACCTTAGCCCAGCCCACCTCAGTGCAAGCCCCGCCCACTTAAGGGATTTGGTCACATTTCTTCTACAGCCTCTAACTACTCATAGAACATTTTTGAACATAGTTATGAATTTTTTCAAAAAGGACCTAACATTTGAATGTCCGCCCTGCCCACTCTGGGCGGAGCTGCGACATATTTACGCATACCCAGCACACATAAGGCCTTGTTCATATCGTTTATATTTTTTGTGGTCTCCTGAGTCGAGTTTATGACCTTAGATGGTAGGTACTGCCCACTGCAAAACGTTCAGCCCACCGCCGGTGAATCTTCTTCATTTCACTTGTTGACCAATCCCTCAACTTTGCTCTTTTTTTTTGCCAGCGTCTGGGCTGTTATGAAACTTAATTCAGACATTTTCTCAAGACACCGCCCACTGTCGTGCACGCGGAGCTTCGCTGAGCTGGCATGTGCTCTGTTGGTCTTGTACTAGGCCCTATTCATCCCAAACTTAGTCCTACTTCTGCAGGTACTTCGTTAGGCAAAATCGAATTCCCGTGCAAACGAAATTACAGACAAACAAGCAGACTGACAGACAGACAGACGCGAGCGCTTTATATATAGTGATGATCAGATCCTATGCCTAGTTCATTCCAGACTTGACCCGACCTCTGCAGGTACTTCTTCCTGCAATATCGGATTTCCCTACAAACAGACATACATAAAAACAAGCAAACAGACAGACAGACGGACCGAGCGCTTTATATATAGTAAGGATAGAATATCATTTCTTTTTACGAATCCGACCATATCATGGTCGTCCAGACAACAAGTTCGAGAAGTTTTCTACGATTGGCGGCGCGACTCAAGTGCATCCGGTGGCTCCAACTCCAGCACAACATACGGAGAGCATCTCCTCAGTTGTGTAAGCGTTAGTCGTTTATTCATTCGTCTTTGATCTGGTTGTACGACGCTCACAACGATTCTTGTTGCAGACGACCAGCTATGACGGATGATCACCGACTTTTCATCCAAGTGAGGAAAAGGCTGGAGGCTTTAAACAGGAATTTGATGTTGCTTCTTGAGTGCGGTCAGAGCAGCGTCGCTCAAATCTTTCCGCACACGGTTACGAGAGTTTTGTCGACAGCTCCCTTACACGCGTTCCTCAATGAGCCTGTCGCTCCTCCTCACCTCTAGTCGAATAGTTTCCGCAGGATCTGGTGATGGGTGATGAGAGCGGGATCCTTCTTGACATAACAGAAGGTCACTGCCCTTCTCTTGAAAGGGATGATCAGTGCGGCCTGAGCCAGAACAGCATTTGAGGAAGTTGTACTGTTCTGTTCTTAGGAGTCGAAGGGATTGCTGCACCACAAGTTGCTCCATCAAGGCCAGACGGTCCGGCTCTCATATATTGAGTTGATGTATAAGTTTTTCCCACTGTTTTTGATCCTCCCGTGTTTCGTTTGCATGGATGCTGGTAGTTCGCCATCACATGTGCGTGAAATGTGCATGATACTTTTTCATCACACTGACTATTACTCGCCCACCCCGCATATGCAGGTCATAGTGCCGTTCGAAAGTTCGTAGTTCGACACAGAGGGTAAGATCAGAGAGCCTCTCGACGACTTTTTCATATACCAGAGCCCTCCCTCTGGGAGGACGGTTTCGACAAACTGCCTGAGCGTTGGCGTCGAGTAGTGGATGGTGACAGTGCATACCTGTAATCTTCAGAATGGCAAATATTGAGATATTTACAAGAAAGTCGGGGAAAAGAACTTGTGCATCAATCTAATGCAGCTCTTGGAACTAGTTCATTACCTCGATTACCTTTATTACCTGTTGTCCCGTTGGTTGTCGATTTCCTCGAGCGGGCGCCAGTAACGTCTACATTCGTCCCCATCGTAAGCCAGAGTAGTCCATTGAATCGCAGTCACTCGACGGACACGGGGCGAAACATTCCTTTCGTTCAGAGCGTTCGTGAAGAATTCTGACAATCGGGCCGGTGGTCATCCTTGTGTTCGTTTGACGTCCCGAGGGATCCAGTCCACCGTGGTCTGACGGTCATCACTATATCGTATGACGTGCCAGGTCCATCTGGTTTTCGATTTCTTGGCGTATTTAATGGCGTCCCTGATCTTCGTTCGTTGACGGAGCTCGGATCTCCATATTCCCTTCTGCACTTGCGTGTGTAGGGAAATTCTGAGCATCTTGCTTTCCACAACGTGTTGAATGACGCTAACTGCATGCTCATCCTGCTTCCGTAGAGTTCAAGTCTCTGAGGCGTATGCCAAAGCAAGGAGGACAGCAGTGTACCGAAAAGGTGAGCGCGGAGCCGGATTCTTCTTCACTACTCCTTCGATGCTCTCGAATGACCTCCTCGCCGCGGGTTTCTGTCCGCTCAGCTCCAAAGCTAGGTCGTTCATTATATTGACTTCCCGACCTAAAACACATAGCTAGAGCATTCAGAGATATTCGTTCCGTTCAGCGTGGAAACACCTCGAATTCTTGGCCAAGGGTGGTTCGATAACGTGGGTGACCTGTAAGATGCTGTGATGCACCTGCATCGACCTTATGCATTAAATTCGGTGCTGTTATATATGAACGGAAGCATGGTAAAACGCATGTCAGTCGATATCCTTTAATCGCAACATTTAACCATAGGCACTAAAATAATAATCTATTTAATTGTTCAGCTTCTTTGAAATAGGCTACAATTTTCAGTTGATATTGGATGCCCATCGCTGGCTGATGGAGCACAACTGTGTGAACGTTCGGTTGTCAGATCAAATGTTCCGTACTCATCAGGTAATGCTCACTATACTGCGTCTTGATTGTGTTCAAAGTATTCAGCTTGTTCTGGGATCTGCGACTGAACGCAGAATAGCGAGGGCGTTTTATCCTATTAAGAGCACTATACCCATGGATCATTCTCTCTGTAGTATCCCTAGCCTGATATTGACGAGGCTACGTGGCGTGACTCCAGGTGGCGGATGAATATATCGGGAATGAATACTGGCCAGTGATTGCTCAGAGACGTATAAGGGTATTGGAGTAGGACTTCCTGCTGAAATCGTTCAATTTTCATCTCTTATTTTCTCGCAGTATATCCATGCAGGGATATACTGCGAGGAAATGTGTGTGGATTTTTTGCGGGAGCGGCTGGTATCCCATACTTCGATGCACCTAACAGCTTTTGCTAGAGCTGAATGACAAGTAAATGAGAGGCGTACATGCGTCACCTCTGATGAAAAAGTACCTCTGTCTGCTTTAGGGTGGCTAATACTCAAGGTGAATCAGGTACCAATGTGAATGTTTCAGGCAAAAACCGTAAGATATGAAAATCGTTCCTCTCGATCAGAAAGAACCTCCGACACGGCAGCTTTTTGGATCAGAGGCCGTCAGAACCTCGGGGCTCGAAATGCTGCCGGAACGAAAATTGGCTTCAGTAGGCTGCTAGAACAAAGACTGGCTATCCTTTTTCTCAATGTAGGAACGTTTGCTTTGGAAGAATATACAGAAGATCTGGTTACTGAAGTTATGAAGATCAAGTACATTATGAACAGAGGGACCGATTCGATAGGACTTCGCTGGCTGCACGTCGTTTTCGAGGCTGCACAACTGTTCCTAATAGCATGCCGCAGCAGAAGCAACGGAGGTGTAGGTGTCTGCATCAAGGTGCATATGGCCATGTTCGAAGACTGAGCGCTCGAATCGAATCCGAGATTGAGGAAACGTAATTCATCATCAGTTTATACATTTTTCACCGCATACCCACCAACACAGAGCCATGATGAGAATGAGCTGAATGCGTTTTTATGGAATGAAGGAGCTCTAAAAAAGTTCATAAATTCTTCA